CAATTATATGCACATTTACGTGCAAATAGATGCGCATTTGTGTACAGATGTATTCTCGCACTCCCCTCGTACGCGCCGAGGAGGGGCCGAGCTCCGGGGGCGCCGCCCCGCCGGCAGCCGCTGCTCATCGGCCCCCGCCGGGCTCCGCTGACCGGGGCTTAACCCCGGAGCTGCCGGAGCAGCAGCGCCCGGGGCAGGATGGAGCAAATGAAGAAGATGCCGGGACCCCCGTGCCCCCTCCCTGTGCAGAGCTTGTCACCCAAGCCATGCCCGGGTCCCTCGCCATGTCCCGAGTGAGGGAATTCAGCCCAGCCCGGGCCGGACTGAGCCGTGCCCGGCCAGGTTTAACCCGACGGGAACCCTCGAGCAGCGTTTGGGGACACAAAGCCGCGCTTGTGTCGCTGTCCCACCCACACAGGGACACAGCCCCAGTCCCTCTGAGCCACCACCCGCCGCGGACACGCGTGGGGATTAAAGCAGCGAGGAAAGGAGAGGAAGGAGGGAGCAGCAGAGCCCGGCGAGACGCGGCTCCGCATCCCGGGCGCCGAGGGGGATGGGAGACACAATGCCCCGGTCCTTAATTTTAATCCCCGCCAGAGGCCTGTTTGCCTAAGCTGGCCCTGCCCTCTGTAATTATCCCATTAGAGCAGCCAGAGCCCGGCCCGGCCGCGCCGAGGGAAAGGCCAGGCTCTTTAACCTGCCCGGGCCACCGCGGGATGGCGAGCGGGGACGCTGCCCGGAGCTGCGGGGCGAGCAGCGGCGAGCGGAGCCCGCAGGGCTCCAGGACGCGCCTCTGATCCCAAATCCATCCCCTCGTGGCTCAGGTAGCCGGCACCGCGCCCGGGGACAGCGCAGGGAAGGCGAGCAGGGTGGGATTTAGGCTCGCAGGTCAAGGAAAGCTGAGCGAACCCCGTTTCTCCCTCCCGCGTTGCCCTTTTTACCCGAAAAATAGGGGAAACCAGCAGCCCTGTTCCCCTCTCTATGGGGACACCTCTCCTGGGTACATTGGAGATGCCAGATTTAACCCACCGCTGTTTTTATTTTCATTTTAACTGAAGCGCGCTCCGGCCGGGACTTTTTGCCGAGCAAAACAAACGAAAATTAATTTAGGGAAAAAAAAAACCAAACAAACAACAAAAACACAACCCAACCCAAACCAAAAACCCCCCCAAAACCAAAACCGAAAAACCAAAACCAGCCGTCGAAAAGAAACTTCAGCTTTTCGGGGAAATTCTCAAAATTCAATGCAACGTCCGCCCGCCGCTGAAACTGGATGTATGCTCAGAGGTAAAAAAATAATGTCTATATCGGGGGAAAATATTTTATTTATACACAGATACATTTATTTTTTGCGGAAAATTAGCTGTATAACCAGGCAGGTCCTAACGGGTCCGATTCAACGAGCTCCGCGATCTCTAACCCCGAAAAGGGAATTT